AAAAGCAACACAATAGAATTAAAAGCATACAAAAGTAAATATTAAAATAGAATAAAACAAGAGCATTGATTAAAACAGTTTAGTTAAAATACAATTTAAAAATAAACAAATAAAAACCTGTTAAAAACAATTCACTAACTCTGGACAAGGAGAATAATAATAATAATAATAATAATAATAATAATAATACTTTATTTCTATTCCACCCTATCTCCTCAAGGAGACTATGGGCAGATCACGGCACACATAAATGGCAAACATCCAATAACATTTTGGACAGACAAGACAGAAAAAAAAAACAACAGAAAAGAGGTATGTTGTGTCGATATCCAGCATTTTGTTGCCTTGGAGGTTGTGCTTGAATCCAGCTACAGGATTGAATGAAGAACCATCAGAACTTCCTCCTTCCTTTTGGTCACCCAGCATTTTCTGATCTTTTTCTTAATGGAGTCGTAAAATACCTCTTCCACTTGTTTTAGCAATACCTAATTTCTCTACCTTCAGCTCAAGCTGTTTTCGAACTGCTTAGGTCAACAGTAAGCTGGGATGACAGTCGGGAGCTCATGCCGACCTGGGGCTTCGAACCGGCAACCTTTTGGCTGGTAGATCTTATCATTGCTGGCAATCTGCCAGCTGTGCTAAAGCCCAGTATCTTGAGTTTTAAAAATATTGCATTAAATTTTACAATATATAAAGAAAATGTTGCTGTTGTTGTTACTATTTGAAACACAACAAGATGAGTCCACAGCAGACAAGATCACTCTGCTGGCTGTTGAATTGGATTACACATCGGGCACTTCCCAAGTGTCTAGGACTGTGTGATGTATCAGCACATAATGCGTGCAGATCCCAGTAAGGTGGCCTTTTGCAGCTGGCAGATGGTAATCTTTTCAGCGCCAATTGTGTTTAAGTGCAGGCACTGCACCCAGTGTGCCAATCACCACTGGGACCACCATTATTATTATTATTATTATTATTATTATTATTATTATTATTATTATTGCCATCCAGCCTCTGTTCAAACACCTCTAAGGAAGGAACTCTGAGGCAGAGAGTTCCACTGCTGAACAGCTCTTCTGACAGTCTGGAAGGTCCTGTCATTTCAACCCATGGCTGCATTGAGTCCTAGTTTCCAGGGCATTGTGTTTAAGTGCAGGCCAAGGTCTTTAGGCACTGCACCCAGTGTGCCAATCTCCACTGGGACCACCTTGACTATTATTATTATGGCCATCCAGCCTCTGTTTAAACGCCTCTAAGGAAGGAACTCCAAAGCAGAGAGTTCCACTGCTGAACAGCTCTTCTGACAGTCTGGAAGGTCCTGTCATTTCAACCCATGGCTGCATTGAGTCCTAGTTTCCAGGGCATTGTGTTTAAGTGCAGGCCAAGGTCTTTAGGCACTGCACCCAGTGTGCCAATCTCCACTGGGACCACCTTGACTATTATTATTATGGCCATCCAGCCTCTGTTTAAACGCCTCTAAGGAAGGAACTCCAAAGCAGAGAGTTCCACTGCTGAACAGCTCTTCTGACAGTCTGGAAGGTCCTGTCATTTCAACCCATGGCTGCATTGAGTCCTAGTTTCCAGGGCAGCAGAAAACAAACCTGCTCCCTCTTGCTTATGACACCCTTTCGCATATATTTATACATGGCCATCATCCTGTCTCCTCTAAACCTTTTCTTCTGCAGGCTAAACAGACCCAGTTCTTTAAGACACTCCTCAGAGGGATTATTCATGGTCTCCAGGTCTTTGATCCTTTGAGTGACCCTGGACCCCTTCCAGCTTTGAACCCAGCTCCCGCTCCCAAAGCAGGATGCCACAGCTGACTCTCTGATAAGCAATCATTAGTCAAAACTTCTCTGCAATGCTTGGAAGAAGCGATTAAACATGGGAGTGCTGGAGAGGGGTGGCTATGAAATAGGGCTTGGCTCCAATTTACCTCCAGTGATATATCTGAAGCACCTAATAAACTCTCTTGTAAACAGAAGAGAGTTATTAACCTGGCGGTGCTCCTTCTGTAACAGATGGAGTCCATTCCTACATCTTGCCAAGGTAATCGCTGGCCCTGTCATTTGTGTACTTTGCAGTTAATACCTGCAAAGCGGGAAGGGTGCGGAGGGGAAAGGTGTCACCTCAACGTCCTATCTGAAGCTCAAGAACTTCCTTTCAAAGAGCTGTAATTATGAAGCACAGTAGGTTTCAACCTATATTCTCGGAGGTATTTTGGACTACGCTCACCAGAAGCTGCAGGTGCATCTATACAAAGCATGGGCAACCTTGGGCCCTCCAGGTGTTTTGGACTCCAACTCCCACAATTCCTAACAGTCTACCGGCTGTTAGGAATTGTGGAAGTTGAAGTCCAAAGTACCTGGAGGGAGGGCCCAAGTTGGCCCATGCCTGGTCTACACTATAGAATGAATGCTGTTTGATACCAATTGAACTTCCAAACTGAATGCTACAGATCCTGAGATCTGTAGTTTGGCGAGGCATCAGTCCTTTTGGGCAAAGAAGGCTAGAGAACTGGTTGTGCCTCTTCGGCCTCCTTGGGGAGAATCGAGTCTGATGGCTCTTTGGCAGCCTCTTCTTGAAGGAGTGATCCAACAAAACCTTTTCTTTCATTAATGGTTCTAATGACATTACAAATATCAGTGGTGACAAGGGACATCCTTGTCTAGTTCCTTTAAGTATGTCAAACTCCTCCGTCGTTTGATCATTAATTCTTAGTTTAGCCTTTTGTAGGTCATATATTGCTTTTATTGCATTCTTAATTTTTTCTCCCATGTCCAATTCTTGCATTAATGTCTTAAAGAAATCCCAATTTAAATTATCAAATGCCTTCTCTGCATCCAAGGCCAGTATGGCAAGCTCTTTCTGATGATTCAGTTCATAGTATTCTATTAAATCCAATACTAGCCTTATATTGTCCTTCATAAATCTATTAGGTAGCAATCCTGTTTGATCTTCTTCAATCCAATTTCTTAAAAAAATTAATTATTTCAGCCAGGATATTTGCCAAAATTTTATAGTCAGTATTAAGGAGTGAAATTTGTCTGTAATTTTTAATCTCCATTTCACATGTTCCTTCTTTATGGATCAAAACTATTTCTGCCTTTGTCCAAGTTTCCGGAATTTTCTGTTTTGTCATCACTTCATTTAACACCTTTTTAAATAAAGGTATCAATTCTTGTTTAAATGTTTTATAAAATCTAGCCATATATCCATCTGGACCTGGAGCTTTATCTGAGTCCATTTTCTGAATCGCTTTTGTCGGTTTTCTGAACCGACAAAACCTTTTCATTGGGACAAAGGAGAAGGAGCGAGAGAAGAAATGAAGGTGGGTGGGTGGGTGGGAGGAAGGAAGGACGGAAGGAAGGAAGGAAGGAAGGAAGGAAGGAGAAAAGGAGACGGAAAGAGGAAGATGGGTGAGAAAGCGAGAAGGGGGACAGGGGGAAGAGAAGGATAGAGGGAAGGTAAGACTGGAAAGGAGGAGAAAAGGAAAGATAGAGGGAAGAAGTGAAACTGCAGAAGGGAGAATGGAGAAGGAAGGGGGAAGAGGGAGGGAAGGACAGAGGGAAGGAGAGAAGGAAAAGGCCAATGAAGGAAGAAAGGGGGGAGAGAAAAAGAGTGGAGAGAAGAAATAAAGGAAGGAGAGAAAGAAGGTGGGAAGATTGGAGAGAAGAAGGTAAGGGGGAAGAGAAGGGGGAGAGGAGGACTAGTGACAGATGATTCAAAGGTTTATATGAGGAAAAACCTGTGCAGGAAAATTGAGAAAATGCTTCATGTGTTCTAGTTGACTTTCTATGCATGAGATGTTAAAGAAAGAATTCCACAAAGTGTAGTGAAGAATTGAGAAAGAGGATGCAAGAATAGAATTATAGAAGTAAGAAAGTTATTTCAGAGGTATTTAAGACCTGCTTGAATGTGGGAAGACTGGAGAGTAGTGAAAAGGTAAGGGAGGGTGAAGGTAAGTAGTAGGATAGGCAGAAGGAGCGGGTAGGAGTGAGGTGAAGTAAAATAGGAAATTTGATAAAATATTGATTGTAGGGAGGGAGGGGGGGATTTACTGGGAGGGAGGATTTAGTGATGTAGGGAATGAATTAATGAAGGAATGTAAGGAGAATTGGAAGAAAGGAATGAAGTAAGGTAAGTTCGTAAAGCAGAAATAATGGTAAGGGCATGATGGCTTTAAATGAGAAAAAGGTAGAGAGAGAAGGAAGGAAGGAGGGAGAGAAAGAGAGAAAGAAGGATAGAAGGAAAGGAAGGAGGAATGAAGGAATAAAGGAGAGAGAGAAGGAAGGAAAGAGTGAGGGAAGGAGGGAGGAGAGAGAGAAAAGAAAAAAAAAGAAAGAAAGAAAGAAGAGGGAGGGAGGGAAGGAGGGAGGGAGGGGGAGGAGGGAAAGAGGGAGAGAAAGTAGGAAAACTGGAGAGAAGAAAGAAGGGGGCAAGAGGAGGAAAGGCAGAAGGAAGAAGGCGAGAGAGGGAGGGAAGAAAGGAGGAATAGAAAGGGGGAAGAAAGAAAGAAAAGGAAAGAGGATGGAGAGAGGGAGGAAAGGAAGGAAGGAAGAGGAAGGAAAGGAAGGAAGGAAGAGGAAGGAGGGTGGGAAGGAAGGAAGGAAAAGGGGAAGAAAGAAAAAGATGAATGAAAGAAAGGAAGGAAGGAAGGAGGAGGGAGGGAAGGAAGGAGGATAAAGGAGAGAGAGAAGGAAGGAAGGAAAGAAAGGAAAGAGTGAGGGAGGGAGAAAGAAAGAAAGAAAGAAAGAGGAGGAGGGAGGAGGGAAAGAGGGCGAGAAAGTAGGAAAACTGGAGAGAAGGGGGCAAGAGGAGGAAAGGCAGAAGGAAGCAGGGGAGGAGGGAGGGAGGGGAGAAAGGAGGAATAGAAAGGGAAGAAAGAAAAAGCATGAATGAAAGAAAGGAAGGAAGGAAGGTGAGGGTGGGAGGGAGGGAAGAAGGAGGAATAAAGGAGAGAGAGAAGGAAAAAAGAGGAGGGAGAGGAAGAGAAAGAAAAAGAAAGAAAGAGGGAGGGAGAGAAGAGAAGAAAGAGAGAGAGAGAGAAGGAGGAAGGAAGAAGATTTGCTGGATGTTACGGGATGGAGTGGAAAGATGGAGATAAAGTTCTTACAAACTTGGAGATAATAAAGAATGGGGAGAGGATTAAAGCAGAATTTAGCTCATTGCTTAGGTATGAGGGGAGAAAGGAAAATAGAAGGAGAATAAAGAAAAGCATGATTAAAGTAAATGAGGAATGAATGTAGTGGGGGTTATGGAGTGAAGGAAGGATTAATAAGTAGAGCTAGAAGGAAGGAAAGATGAGTGAAGGAAGAAATAATAAATAATAACTAATAAATTAAATAAATAAATAGGTATGGATCGAATGATAGATAGGTTGTGAAATAAAATGAGGAAGTAATGAATTAATGAATGAAGTAAGAAGGAATTAATGAATTAATAAGTAATGAATTAATTCCTGTTCATGTATAGCTGTATGGAATGAAGTAGAAGCAAAAGAAGGAATGAAGGAAATGGAAGGAGAGAAGGAAAGAAATAATGAAAGAGGGAGGGAGAGAGAGAGTAAATATAAAAATTAAAGGAAGAAAAATAAATAAATTATTTGAAAAATAAAAAGAAATAAGAAGAAAAAAAAAATAGAAAAATAAAAAAAGAAAAGAAATAAAAAATAGAATTAAAAGCCTTAACATATTGAATGAGAGAGAGAGAAAGTAAATAAATAAAATACATAATGCAATAGTTATTAGTGAACAGATTGGGGATATAAGTATGAAAACTGGAGATATGAACGAAGGGAGCAAGAGGAGAAATGCAGGAGGAATAAGGCTAGGAGAGAGGTATGTAAAAAAGAAAAAAGAAAAAGAAAAAAAGAAAAAAAGAAAGAAAAAAAGAAAGAAAGAAAGGGAGAAAATGAAAGAAAGAAAAAGAAAGAGTAGGGGAGAGACAGTGTATGTGAGAGATCCAGAAAAAAGAAAGAGATAAAAAGAAAGAAGGAAGGAAGGAAAAGACAGAAGGAAAGTAGGAAAACTGGAGAGAAGAAAGGAGGGGGGCAAGAGGAGGAAAGGCAGTAGGAAGCAGGCGAGGAGGGAGGGAGGGAAGGAGGAAAGAAGGAGGGCGGGAGGGAGGCGCCGTCCTCTCTCCTCCTCCTCCTCCTCGTGCTGCTCCCCCCTTCTTTAGCCGCCCTCTTCTTCCTCCTCCTCCTTCTTTGGGGGGCGGGGTGGCGGCGTCGGGTCCTCGTTCTCTGCGAGGGGCCACTGCGAGTCCCTGTGGGCGCTTCCTCCGGGCGAGAGCCCCGTGATCTCGGCGGTGATGTTCTCGGCGGGGCTGGTGGGCAACGTGTGGGCGCTGGCGCTGCTGGGCCGGGCCTGGCTCCTCCGACGGCGCCGACGACGACGCTTCTCCGCCTCCTCCTCCTCCTCCTCCTCGGTCCGCACGCCGCCCTTCCGCGCCTTGCTCTCGGCGCTGGTGCTGACGGACCTGCTGGGCACCTGCCTGCTGAGCCCGGCCGTGCTGTGGGCCTACGCGACGGGGCGGGCGCTGGTGGCGCTGGACGGCGGGCGCGGGCGGCTCTGCCTGGCCTTCGCCTTCGGCATGAGCTTCTTCGCGCTGGCCACGCTGGCCTGCCTGGGCGCCATGGCCCTGGAGCGGAGCCTGGCCCTGGGCGCGCCCTACCTCTACGCCCGGCTGCTGGGGGGGGCGCCGGCCTGGCTGCCCTGGGCCGCCCTGCTCGCCCTCTACGCCTTCTGCGCCGCCCTCTGCGCCGCCCCGCTCCTCCTCGGCTTCGGCCGCTTCGTCCAGTACTGCCCGGGCACCTGGTGCTTCCTCCAGATGCGCTTCCAAGGGGGGCCCCCCGAGGGGCCCGGCGCGCCCGCCTTCGCCCTCCTCTACGCCGCCCTCCTCCTCCTCCTCGTCCTGGCCGTCCTCCTGGGGAACCTCAGCCTCATGGTCAGCCTGGTCCGCATGCGGAGGCGCGGGAGGGGGCTCCGCCTGGCCGGGACACCCCCGGCCTCCTCCTCGCCGCCCCACCTCTCCATGGCCCAGGAGGCCGACCACCTCATCCTCCTCTCCATCATGACCCTCACCTTCGCCGTCTGCTCACTCCCCTTCGCCGTGAGTATATATATATTCATTTATTTACTTTATTTGTATACAATTTAGGTATAGGTAAAGGCAAAGGTAGTCCCCTGACATTAAGTCCAGTCATAGAATCATAGAATCAAAGAGTTGGAAGAGACCTCCTGGGCCATCCAGTCCGCAAGAAGCAGGAATATTGCATTCAAATCACCCCTGACAGATGACCAGCCTCTGTTTAAAAGCTTCCAAAGAAGGAGCCTCCACCACACTCCGGGGCAGAGAGTTCCACTGCTGAACGGCTCTCACAGTCAGGAAGTTCTTCCTCATGTTCAGATGGAATCTCCTCTCTTGTAGTTTGAAGCCATTGTTCCAATGCGTCCTAGTCTCCAGGGAAGCAGAAAACAAGCTTGCTCCCTCCTCCCTGTGGCTTCCTCTCACATATTTATACATGGCTATCATATCTCCTCTCAGCCTTCTCTTCTTCAGGCTAAACATGCCCAGCTCCTTAAGCCGCTCCTCATAGAGCTTGTTCTCCAGACCCTTGATCATTTTAGTCGCCCTCCTCTGGACACATTCCAGCTTGTCAATATCTCTCTTGAATTGTGGTGCCCAGAATTGGACACAATATTCCAGGTGTGGTCTAACCAAAGCAGAATAGAGGGGTAGCATGACGTCCCTAGATCTAGACACTATGCTCCTATTGATGCAGGCCAAAATCCCATTGGCTTTTTTTGCCGCCACATCACATTGTTGGCTCATGTTTAACTTGTTGTCCACGAGGACTCCAAGATCTTTTTCACACGTACTGCTCTCGAGCCAGGCATCATCGTCCCCCATTCTGTATCTTTGCATTTCATTTTTCCTGCCAAAGTGGAGTATCTTGCATTTGTCCCTGTTGAACTTCATTTTGTTAGTTTTGGCCCATCTCTCTAATCTGTCAAGATCGTTTTGAATCCTGCTCCTGTCCTCTGGAGTCTTGGCTCTCCCTCCCAATTTGGTGTCGTCTGCAAACTTGATGATCCTGCCTTCTAGCCCTTCATCTAAGTCATTAATAAAGATGTTGAACAGGACCGGGCCCAGGACGGAACCCTACGGCACTCCACTTGTCACTTCTTTCCAAGATGTCTGACTCTGGGGTGTGGTGCTCATCTCCATTTCAAACCGAAGAGCCGGCGTTGTCCGTAGACACCTCCAAGGTCATGTGGCCGGCATGACTGCATGGAGCGCCGTTACCTTCCCGCCGGAGCGGTACCTATTGATCTACTCCCATTTGCATGTTTTCGAACTGCTAGGTTGGCAGAAGCTAGGGCTGACAGCGGAAGCTCACGCCGCTCCCCGGAATCGAACCTGCGACCTTTCGATCAACAAGCTCAGCACCTCAGTGCTGTAACCCACTGCGCCACCGGGGGCTCCTATAATTAAACATCAATATCAATACATCACTACATCAATATAACAAATCCATCAGGTCTCATCAATGAAATCAGAATCCAAACTCGTTATCCGATATTCCGTGTTCCGATAGTCAGTCAATCAATCACACTGCTTAGTCGAATGCCTGTTCAAACAGCCAGGTCTTTACTTTCCTCCGGAATGCCAGCAGGGAGGGGGTCGATCTAATATCTGCAGGAAGGGCGTTCCACAGCCGAGGGGCCACCACTGAGAAGGCCCTGTCTCTCGTCCCCACCAGGTGTGCTTGTGAAGCCGGCGGGATCGAGAGCAGGGCCTCCCCAGACGATCTTAATGTCCTAACTGGTTCATAGGAGGAGATGCGTTTGGACAGGTAGGTCGGGCCAGAACCGTTTAGGGCTTTAAAGGCTAAAGCCAGCACTTTGAATTGTGCCCAGTAGCAAATTGGCAGCCAGTGGAGCTGGCGCAACAGAGGAGTGGTGTGCTCCCTGAGTGCCGCTCCTGTTAGTATCCTGGCTGCCGATTGTTGGACCATTTGAAGCTTCCGAGCAGTCTTCAGAGGCAACCCCACGTAGAGAGTGTTGCAGTAGTCTATACGGGATGTAACCAGAGCATGGACTACCGTGGCCAAGTCAGGCTTCCCAAGGAACGGGCGCAGCTGGCGCACAAGTTTTAACTGTGCAAATGCTCCCCTGGTCACCGCGGAAACCTGGGGTTCCAGGCTCAGCGATGCATCCAAGATCACACACAAGCTGCGAACCTGCGTCTTCAGGGGGAGTGTGACCCCGTCCAGCACAGGCTGTAACCCTATGCCCTGTTCGGCCTTGCGACTGACCAGGAGTACCTCTGTCTTGTCTGGATTCAATTTCAATTGCCCTCATCCAGACACAGCGGCCAAGCACCGGTTCAGGACCTGAACAGCCTCCTTAGTAGCAGGTGGAAAGGAGTGACAGAGTTGGACATCACCCGCATACAGATGACACCGTACCCCGAAACTCCGGGTTATCTATCTTAAACCCCTGTGCCGGCAGAACTGAAGACCGACAGGTCGCAGGTTCGAATCCGAAGAGAAGTGGATGAGTTCCCTCTATCAGCTCCAGCTCCTCATATGGGGACATGAGAGAAGCCTCCCACAAGGCTGATCAAAACATCCAATCATCCGGGCATCGTCCCCTGGGCAACGTCCTTGCAGACGGGCAATTCTCTCACACCAGAAGCGACTTGCAGTTTCTCAAGTCGCTCCTAATGGGTCTTCCTTTCCATGGTCAGATGGTTTATCCCTGCTTTTCAAACTTGCAGATACATGACAGGAAAATCTATCTATTTAAAAATGTAATGTTCGCAATTCACTTCCTAGTAACATTATATATATCTCCAGCTCAGCTGCAACAATAACAGGGAAATCATACAATTGTAGAATCATAGAATCCTAGAGTTGGAAGAGACCTCATGGGCCATCCAGTCCAACCCCATTCTGCCAAGAAGCAGGAATATTGCATTCAAAGCACCCTCGACAGATGGCCATCCAGGAAGAACTTCCTGACTGTGAGAGCCATTCAGCAGTGGAACTCTCTGCCCCGGAGTGTGGTGGAGGCTCCTTCTTTGGAGGCTTTTAAACAGAGACTAGATGGCCATCTGTCAGGGGTGCTTTGAATGCAATATTCCTGCTTCTTGGCAGAATGGGGTTGGACTGGATGGCCCATGAGGTCTCTTCCAACTCTAGGATTCTAAAAGGTAAAGGTTTTCCCCCTGACATTAAGTCCAGTCGTGCCTGACTCTGGGGGTTGGTGCTCATCTCCATTTCTAAGCTGAAGAGCTGGCGTTGTCTGTAGACACTTCCAAGGTCATGTGGCCAGCATGACTGTATGGGGCGCTGTTACCTTCCCGCAGGAGCGGTACCTATTTATCTACTCACACTTGCATGTTTTCGAACTGCTAGGTTGGCAGAAGCAGGGGCTGAGAATCATAGAATCATAGAATCAAAGAGTTGGAAGAGACCTCATGGGCCATCCAGTCCAACCCATTCTGCCAAGAAGCAGGAATATTGCACTCAAATCACCCCTGACAGATGGCCATCCAGCCTCTGTTTAAAAGCTTCCAAAGAAGGAGCCTCCACCACACTCCGGGGCAGAGAGTTCCACTGCTGAACGGCTCTCACAGTCAGGAAGTTCTTCCTCATGTTCAGATGGAATCTCCTCTCTTGTAGTTTGAAGCCATTGTTCGCGTCCTAGTCTCCAAGGAAGCAGAAAACAAGCTTGCTCCCTCCTCCCTGTGGCTTCCTCTCACATATTTATACATGGCTATCATATCTCCTCTCAGCCTTCTCTTCTTCAGGCTAAACATGCCCAGCTCCTTAAGCTGCTCCTCATAGGGCTTGTTCTCCAGAACCTTGATCATTTTAGTCGCCCTCCTCTGGACACATTCCAGCTTGTCAATATCTCTCTTGAATTGTGGTGCCCAGAATTGGACACAATATTCCAGGTGTGGTCTAACCAAAGCAGAAGAGAGGGGTAGCATTACTTCCCTAGATCTAGACAGTATGCTCCTATTGATGCAGGCCAAAATCCCATTGGCTTTTTTTGCCGCCACATCAGTGTCGCATTAACTCAGTGTCGCCTCACTCCCGGATGAGCGTGTGCACTGTGTAGGATTGCAGCCTGACTGTTGATATGCCCGGCGTTTTATTGCCTCGCAATGAGACACTGCTGACATGCTGCAACCACACAGAATATAAACAACCGCCGCTTGTAAAAACAAGCCACGCGGCAGCATGCCCAAGTGAGACAAATTTGGATTATGTGCAGCGTGTGTCATTAAAACACCCCCGTTATCTAAAAGCCAGCAGGGAGTGTTGAGTCAAGGGCATGACTAACAGGTTTTCCTTTCCATGGTCAGATGGTTTATCCCTGCTTTTCAAACTTGCAGATACATCACAGGAAAATATACGAGTATTACATCAACATTGGATGCATCTCCGGCCCCTTCTATACTGCCATCCAGATTGTCTGTTTTGAATTGGATTATATGGCAGTGTAGACTCATATAACTCAGTTCAAAATAGATAATGTGGACTATCTGTTTTGATAATCTGGATTATATAGCAATGTAGAAAGGGTCTCCATTGTGCAATTAATACAGTTTGGCACTATGTTCACTCCAAGGCTCAATGCTATGGAGCCGTGGGAGTTGCAGTTTGTTGACATTCCAGCCCTCTTTGGAAGGACACTAGAGACCTTGCAAAACTGCAACTCCTGTGATTCCATTGAGCCATGGCAGTTCAAGTGGTGTCAAACTGTATTAGCACTACAGTGTGGATGTGCACTACCATCAAGCTATCATTGGTGGAGTTCAGAATGCTCTTTGATTGTAGGTGAACTATACATCCCAGTAACTACAACTCGCATATGTCAAGGTCTATTTTTCCCCAAGAGCGCCTCAAGAGTGTCCCTGGGCAAAATCAACTATACTGCAAATGCTTACTTTGCGTAATGGGTTGAGCCGCCCCTGTGTACAATCAATGCAGTTCAACCATGGCTCGATGCTATGAAATCCTGGAAGTTGTAGTTTCACTAGCCTTCTTTGCCAAAGAGGTTTGGTGCCTGACCAAACTGCAAGTCTTATGATTC